ACGACATATCTAATAACACACACACACACACACACACACACACACACACACACACACACTTCAAATATTTCTGGATATAGATCATAACTCCCAATGACTTGTTGTGAATGTAAGTACAGTAATTCTTGGTAACCAATTTGTGTTTATTTCCTTATACTGGCCTGCACTCTCTTATACTGACCTGCACTCTCTTATACTGGCCTGCACTCTCTTATACTGACCTTCGCTCCTTATACTATTCTTCACTCTCCAACACTGTACCTCACACTCCAGCACTGTACCTCACTCCCCAACACCTCACTGTACCTCTCACTCCAACACTGTACTCACTCCAACACTGTCCCTCACTCCCCAACACTGTCCTCACTCCCAAACACTGTACCCTCACACTCCAACACTGTACCTCACACCCAGCACTGCCTCACACACTCCAGCACTGTACTTCAATCACTGTACCCCACTCCCAACACTGTACTCACTTCCAACACTGCCTCACTCCCCAACACTGTACCTCACTCCAACACTGCTCACACTCCAACACTGTACCTCACACTCCAGCACTGTACCTACCCCCAACACTGTCCTCACTCCCCAGCACTGTACCTCACACCCAACACTGTACCTGACTCACACTGCACTCACACTCCAACACTGTACCTCACTCTCCAGCACTGTACCTCCACCCAACACTGTCCTCACTCCCCAACACTGCACCTCACTCCCAACACTGTCCTCACTCCCAGCACTGTACCTCACTCCCCCAACACTGTACCTCACTCCCCAACACTGTCTCTCACTCCCAACACTTTCACTCCCCAACACTGTACCTCACACTCCAACACTGTCCTCACTCCCCAACACTGTACCTCACACTCCACTGTCCCACACCAACACTGTACCACACTCCCAACACTGTACCTCACTCCCCAACACTGTACCTCACACTCCAACACTGTCCTCACTCCCAACACTGTACCTCACACCCAACACTGTCCTCACACTCCAACACTGTACCTCACTCCAGCACTGTACCACTCCCCAACACTGTCCTCCTCCCCAGCACTGTACCTCACACTCCAACACTGTACCTGACTCCCAACACTGTACCTCCTCCAACACTGTGCCTCAATTCTCCAGCACTTACCTCACCTCCAGCACTGCCTCCTCCCCAACACTGTACCTACTCCCCAACACTGTACCTCACTCAACACTGTCCCTCACTCCCCAACACTGTCCCTCACTCCCCAACACTGTACCTCACCTCCAACACTGTGCCTCACCCCAGCACTGTCCACCTCCCACACTCTCCAGCACTGTGCTTCAATCACTGTACCTCCTCCCCAACACTGCCTCACTCCTCCAACACTGCCTCCTCCCCAACACTGCCTCCCTCCAACACTGTCCCTCACCTCCCACTGTACCTCTCCAGCACTGTCACCTCACTCCCCACTGTCCCTCCTCCCCAGCACTGTGCCTCCCTCCAACACTGTGCCTGACTCCCAACACTGTGCCTCACCTCCAACACTGTACCTCCACTCTCCAGCACTGTACCTCACCTCCAACACTGTCCCTCACTCCCCCAACACTGTACCTCACTCCCCAACACTGTCCCTCCTCCCCAACACTGTACCTCACTCCCAACCATGCCTCACTCCAACACTGTCCCCTCCCCAACACTGTCCTCCTCCCCAACACTGTCCTCACCTCCTTGCCTCCCTCCTCCCAACCTGTACCTCCACCTCCAACACTGTCCTCACACCTCCAACACTGTACCACACTCCCCTTGCCTCCTCCAACCTGTCCTCCACACTCCAACACTGTCCCTCCTCCCCCAACACTGCCTCACACTCCAACACTGTCCCTCTCACACTCCAACCTGTGCCTCACTCCCAACACTGTCCCTCCTCCCAGCCTGTGCCTCACACTCCAACACTCCTGACTCCCCAACACTGCCTCCTCCAACACTGTCCCCTCAGTTCTCCACTGTACCTCACACTCCAACACTGTCCCTCCTCCCCCAACACTGTTCCACTCCTAACCTGTCCCTCACTCCTACACTGTCCTCATCCCCAACACTGTGCCTCACTCTCCCACTGTCCTCACTCCCCAACACTGTCCCTCACTCCCCAACACTGTACCTCCTCCAACACTGTCCCTCCTCCCAACACTGTGCCTCCTCCCCAACATTGTCCCTCCTCCTAACCTGTCCCTCACTCCCCAACCTGTGCCTCCCTCCCAACACTGTCCCCTCTCCTCAACCTGTCCTGCTCCCCTTTCTCTCCCCAACACTGTCCTCCCACTTCCTCCTCCCCAACACTGTACCTCACACTCCAAACTGTCCTCACTCCCCAACACTGTCCCTCACTCCCCAACACTGTCCCTCCTCCCCAACACTGTCCCTCACCTCCACACTCCCCAACACTGTCCCTCACTCCCCAGCACCTCCCAACACTCCTCCAACCTGTGCCTCCTCCCCAACACTGTGCCTCCTCCCCAACACTGTCCCTCACTCCAACACTGCCTCCTCCCAACACTGTCCCTCACCTCCAACACTGTCCCTCACACTCAACTCTGTCCCTCACTCCCAACACTGTCCCTCACCTCCCAGCACTGTGCCTCCTCCCCAACACTGTGCCTCCCTCCCAACACTGTCCCTTACATAACCTGTCCCTCACCTCCAACACTGTCCCCTCACCTCCAACACTGTACCTCACTCCCCAATGTGCCTCCTCCCCAACACTGTCCTCCTCCCCAACACTGTCCCTCACCTCCAACCACTGTACCTCACACTCAACACTGTACCTCCCCTCCCCAACACTGTCCCTCACCTCCCAACACTGTACCTCCCCTCCCAACACTGTCCCTCACTCCCCAACACTGTCCCTCACTCCCCAACACTGTCCTCCTCCCCCAACACTGTGCCTCACCTCCCAACACTGTACCTCACTCCCCAACACTGTCCCTCCCCAACACTGTCCCTCACCTCCCAACACTGTGCCTCACACTCAACACTGTCCCTCACACCAACACTGCCTCCACCTCCCACTGTCCCTCACTCCCCAACACTGTCCCTCCCTCCAACACTGTGCCTCCCCCTCCAACACTGCCTCCCTCCAACACTGTCCTCCCCTCCAACCTCCTCCTCTCCCCCGACTCTTCGTCTCACACCACACACACACACACACACACACACACATACACACACACACACACACTTCCCCTGAGGGCTCAACCAATCCCAGCCGTAATGAAGAAATGAAACTTTGATAACGCGTCTATGATGTGTTGGAGTAGCCATTGACAACACTACATGTGTGTGTGTGTGTGTGTGTGTGTGATATATATGTGTACCTTTGCATTTTCTGCATTGTATAATTTTAAACAATTACATCAAACAACTATGATAGAAATTAAAATGTCCTCAGATAAAAAAAAATTAAACATCTGACTTTGGAAAATACTGTGTACTTTTCTGAAGCTACTAAACATTATTACGTTCGCGTACTAATGTAACAAACACACACTTACAAACTGCTAATAATAATAATAACATATTACTAACCACAACTGTCACACACCTCTTAACCATACAGTCGCATCACTAATACCACAAATAAGCACAGTCACGCACTTACTAACCAAACAAACGCTGCTATGATACAAGCACCGTCTCACGAACATACAAACTGGGCTTCAGAAACACATACGAATCACCTCACAAACACTCAAACATCGACTTTTAAACACACAAACATTGCCTCATAAATACACAAACATCGCCTCATAAATACACAAACATCGCCTCATAAATACACAAACATCGCCTTATTAACACAAGTATGTCATATTCAACATCGAATTGAATTGCGCTTTAAACCAAAACATCGTAACATAAACACAAAACATCGCAACATTAATTCAGAACATTGTAACATGAACACAAAACATGGCAACATAAACCAAAACATCACGACATATATTCAAAACATCTCGACATAAACTTAAACCTCGCGAAATAACACAAAACACCGCAACATAAACTCAAAACACCGCAACATAAACTCAAAACATCGCAACATAAACTCAAAACATCGCGACAAACTCAAAACATCGCAACATAAACTCAAAACATAGCGACAGACTCACAATTTCCAGGCCGTCACTTCTATACAAAACGCAACATCGTCTTATAGCTTTTCAACAACATCACATCAAAACAACTTTCCTCTAAACATTACACAAACATCGTGACGTAAACATTAACAAAGTGACAAACATCATAACATCAACTCATAGATATCACCTAAAGATTAACCCCTCCCTCCCATAACAGTTTATTTCACCTGAGAATTGTGACCTAACGCCTATGGGTGGGGTAGGTTAGGTTAAGTTTGGTTAGGTTTACGTCAGGTTAAGTTTGACTAGGTTAATCGAGGTTAGTGGTAGGGTGGTTTGGTGAGATTAGCTGAAGTTAGAATAGGCTGAACAACGTATGGGTAGGTTAAGTTGGGTTAGGTTAAGGTGGTGTTATTGCGGTATGGTGATTAAAGTGGTGGTTGTAGCGTGAGGTTGATTAGGTTAAAGCTGTGACGGTGGTTTGATTGGTGGTTAGACTGAACGTAAGATGAAATTGATTAGGTGGTGAGTGGTTGAATATTAAGTGCGGTGGGGTGGTTAGGTTAGCTTAAATTAGCGGTAGGGTGGTTAGGTTAGCTTAAATTAGCGGTAGGGTGGTTAGATTAGGTTAAGATAGCTGTAGGGTGGTTAGATTAGGTTAAGATAGCTGTAGGGTGGTTAGGTTAGCTTAAGTTAGCGGTAGGGTGGTTAGGTTAGCTTAAATTAGCGGTAGGGTGGTTAGGTTAGCTTAAGTTAGCGGTAGGGTGGTTAGGTTAGCTTAAGTTAGCGGTAGGGTGGTAATCTTCAGGTGATTCCCTCCTTACACCACAATACCCATCCCCCCAACATCAAATACCGAGGTGAAAAGATGAGTATCTACTTACTTGACTCGAGTCCCTTCTTTGGCTGTATGATCTTGGCGTGGGTGAGTGTGGTGGCGAGGAGCAGCAGCAGCCACACACCTGTCATAGCGAGGTGGTGCTCGGCTACACCTCCAGGTATATCACTGGTACCAGATATGGGGCCCACACTCACTAATCTACATACACAGTCATATTTCTGTACTTAAGTTACATTTCTTTTTTTTTTCTGTATTTCCTTCGTCGGTAATAGTATGATCCGCACTATGGAAACAGCAGCGTTAGCACTAGCATTCACGAATGCCTGACATTAGCCTCCATTCTGTAATGACACGCTTATGGAAACTACGCAAGACCAGCGTTTGCCCGCTTTCTACCTACAGTGGCACCTGTTTTGTAAATTCGGGACTCGCTTTTACGGACACTGAAACATTTTACAGACATACATCATTAAATTATACTTTCTTTCCGTAGTACAGTAATTCTACCAACGGTGTGAGCGGCAGGCAGAGTATTAAAGAGCTCTAAGCTGTCATTGTGACGAGCACTGTATGTAAAAGCCTACCTAAGCTCGTATTATACTTGATGTTAATATAGTATTTCCTGCACTAGCTGTTGGGAGTAATATTCTTTAACTTTCATGGACTGACAATATTATTCTTTCCTCAAATGTACACAGCAATATATCCTTATATTTTTATTAACTCATGAAGTTGACATTTCTTTTCTTTTACTTTGAGCAACACTGAACGACACAGAATCCTTAAAGAAAATATTGGATGATTTGATATTGATAGACGTGAGTAGTTACATGTAGGTGACACAATACGGAGAACACCAGCGGCGGGTTGTATGAGAAGCAGCAGTGTGAGCCTTCACACAGAGCGGCCAGGAGGTGACTGAGGACTCGCCGGAACGGGGACCTGGGTTGTCCGGCCTCGCGCAGGTGATGGCGAACTCTTCCTACTGATTGGTTGATGGAGAGGAGGTCATGACACCTAGCTCTTCTCACTGATTGGTTGATGGAGAGAAGGTCATGACAGCCAGCTCTCCTAACTGATAAGGAGATGGAGAGGTCATGACAGCTTTCTTTACTAGTCGGTTGATGGAGCGACGGTCCATACAGCCGCCCTCACTGATTGGTTGGTGGAGAAGACTTAATGGGGCAGTCTTGTCTCTGTTCTTAATCTGTTGGTAAGAGGGAGATAATCTTCGTGTGTTGAGGATGTAAACAAGGTATTAGTGAGGCTTTAGTCATCGCAGAGGTGGTGCTGACAAGTTACTGTAGTTATACTGCCTACTGTGTGTATGTGTGTGTGTGTGTGTGTGTGTGTGTGTGTGTGTGTGTGTGTGTGTTTTCATTGGTGGATTCCGAAAGTTTAAGCCGATTGACCTAATAATGTTGAATTATCATGTTCTCTAGATGTGGCTGTTGATGTATAACGGGGCGAGCGAGCGTATGGAAAAAGTTTATTGGGGCAGACTAAGTTATAGCCACTGAGGAAAAGCTGTAAACACGAACCTGCTGATTATTTCAACATTTGACAAGACCTCGGATAGCTGTTCAGTGTTAAATTAAGATAATCGTAGAGAAATTATATCATAAACGTATACCTGCCGTGGCCCTCTCCAGTCCAGCTGTGACTTTCTGTTTACCGTATAAAGTTTATAAAGAATGCATATCACAACCCCTCAATTCCCTCATTGGCTCTTACTTATTAAATAACGGAGAGAATTGTTACAAGCTCACACGTTAGCAAAGAAAAGCCTATTTGTGAGTTGGAGCAGCTTACTAGTAACTTTTACGTGTTTAAATGAAAGGTGAGGACAATGGGCTAACGTGTATTGTACTTTAGTTCAGTTCATCTTTTTATGTAAATACAGTGGATAGTTATTTGTTTATGTGTCAAGCCTCGTCTCCCATACTCTATTGAACGAGTACAATACACGTTAGCCCATTGTCCTCATCTTGTTCAGTACGTGATAATGTGATTCCTGTATACAGAGAGCAATTACTTATCCTCTCCTCCCCACCACCCGTTGCCTCTCTCCTACACCACTACCTGTCACCTCTATCCTCCCCCACTACCTGTCACCTCTATACTCCACACTACCTGTCACCTCTATACTCCACACTACCTGTCACCTCTATCCCCCCCCACTACCCGTCACCTCTCTCCTCCATCCCCATGCACACGATCACCCCTATTCCATCACCCCTCCTAGCACCCCCATCACCCCCACATTTAACCCCCTCCACTCCTACGTACCCTTCCCCCCCCCCTCCCCCTCCTTACATTATTTGGAAGAGGAAGACAAGTTTGGTGAGTCATTTGTCAGGGCTTGTCTCATAGGCCGCCCAGCGTGTTCAATAAAGGCCACATTAACTTGAACATAGAGTGACGAGGACCACACCAGCACTCCTTCCTCTCAGCAGTGAACAGTGACAGAGGACCACACCAGCACTCCTTCCTCTCAGCAGTGAACAGTGACGAGGACCACCTCACTCCTTCCTTAGCAGTGAACAGTGACAGGACCACACCATCCTCCCTTCCTCGGCAGTGAACAGTGACGAGGACCACACCAACACTCCTTCCTCTCAGCAGTGAACAGTGACGAGGACCACACCAGCACTCCTTCCTCTCAGCAGTGAACAGTGACGAGGACCACACCAGCACTCCTTCCTCTCCAGCAGTGAACAGTGACGGGACCACACCAGCCTCCTTCCTCTCAGCAGTGAACAGTGACGAGGACCACACCACTCCCTTCCTCTCAGCAGTGAACAGTGACGAGGACCACACCAGCACTCCTTCCTTAGCAGTGAACAGTGACGAGGACCACACCAGCACTCAGTGACGAGGACCACACCAGCACTCCTTCCTCAGCAGTGAACAGTGACGAGGACCACACCAGCACTCCTTCCTTAGCAGTGAACAGTGACAAGGACCACACCAGCACTCCTCCCTTAGCAGTGAACAGTGACGAGGATCACACCAGCACTCCTCCCTTAGCAGTGAACAGTGACGAGGATCACACCAGCACTCCTCCCTTAGCAGTGAACAGTGACGAGGATCACACCAGCACTCCTTCCTTAGCAGTGAACAATGACGCAGACTCCACCATCACTCCCTTCCTCGGCAGTGAATAATGATAGACTTCTGTTACTCAATTACGCTTTGGGTGAACCCGCTAGTAAGTCTCTACTCCGACCTTTATTTAACACAAAGAAGTTAGAACAAGTAGCAGAAAGTGAGACAATATACGAGTAAGATTATTGATCTTCTTACATAGTCTCTTGATTACTATTAACTTTATCTTTGTCTTCTGTAAGTTCTACCTTCATTTATATTGTCACTTGAAAATCGTATTACCTGTACTTATTTCTATACTTCAGCAATATATATATTTTTTTATACTTAAGGTAAGATAATTGGGATGAAATATAGACTCAGGGGTTATCGAGCAGAGAAAATAGGATTTAGATAAGCTTTGTATTCTTCAAAGAGGAGACGATTCTGGGTTTGAGTACTTATTATTTTTTTTGTCCCATTAGCATCTTTATTAAACTGAATTAAATGTATCTAGATGTTTATGCTGCTTTATTTCTCCGGTCATCAAGATCCTTCCTTTAGTTCCTATAAAGTGTCCCTCTCCTTGATCCCAGGCCAGATCCTCTGTTCATGTCGCTTTCAATCAGGCTATTTCCTGGATTCCAAGATTCTCCTAAATACAAGTATCGGCAGCTCTCTCCAAATTACCACTTCACTCGACACTGGGATCTTCTGCCTCGTTTATCCAGGATCTTTCTTCCATCTTGTCCAAATATTCTTCAATCCGTCCCTTTCCTCAAGATCGTATGAAGACACTTGTGTTAGACCAATGAAACCTCCTTCGGCGGATTTTGCTCTTGATATCTTCCGGTGTGCTACTTCAAGACTCTCAAGCATCATGGCTATTCTTCACTTTCACTCCAGAGACATGTTGCTGTCCAAGAGATTTTTCTGTTTGCTAATGCGGGTTTATTTTTCTATTGGTTTTTCAAAATTCATATTGGGTTATTAAGAAGTGTAACTTATTGTTTTCTTCGGGCAATTTCTATACTCAGATGTGTTCCGGGACTCTAAGTGGTCATTCTCTTGTATGACCCAGCCTTCTTGTCTGTTCCATTATCCAGTCCTATTTTCTGTTCCAGGAATCATTTCTTCTCCACTTTCAGAACTCGTGTCTCTGAACTGTTGAAAGACCCAACTCTCTGATCTATTCTCTGGTGTAGCCCTTTAGTCTAAACCCTCTGATCCGTTCCAGAACTCGGCCCCTTAATCTGGTCTATGGTCTGTTCCAAGATTCATTATTCCGGCCTGTTAAAAGATTTGTTCCAAAAATCTGGTCTATTAGAAGACGTCCTGGTCTTTTAGCTTGTTCCAGGGTCCAGTTCTCTTACCTCTTTAAAAAATTCAGTTCTCTGGCTTGTTTCAACTCCCAGTACTTCTGTTTGTTGAATGTCCCCTTCCTCACCACCCGTCACCTGTCTCCTACCCACCACCCGTCACCTGTCCTCCCCACCACCCGTCACCTGTCCTCCCCACCACCCGTCACCTGTCCTCCCCACCACCCGTCACCTGTCCTCCCCACCACCCGTCACCTGTCTTCCCCACCACCCGTCACCTGTCCTCCCCACCACCCCTTCACTTGTCCTCCCACCTCACCTGTCCTCCCCACCACCCGTCACCTGTCCTCCCCACCACCCGTCACCTGTCCTCCCCACCACCCGTCACCTGTCCTCCCCACCACCCCTTCACTTGTCCTCCTCCCCAACCTCATTATTCAAGTCTGTTTCAAAACCTATTTCTTAAGTTTGTCATAGATTTAGCTCTGAGACTTATTCAGCAAGTCTATTAAATTTATATTCCTGGTCAGCTTCAGAACACAAACGTAAGGTTATTTTTAGACACCAAACACCAGCCCAACCAAACCGTAATTCTGTCCGGGACTTGACTTTCCACTGTCCTATCCTGTACAGTGCCTCCTGTACTCCAGCATTAATGGACGTTACGGGACCAATAGTTTAGTTCCATGATTCAGCCTTTTTTGTTGTTGTTGTTTACGTCTGTTCTAAAGACTGTTCCTCTGACTGGTTCCTTGGCTTCTCTTAAAGGTCTGTCTCTACATCTTAACCCCAGTCTCCTAAGAACTGGCCTACTGTACCCTTTCCTACCAAGATTTTCTCTACGATTTTGTTTTTAATTTGTGTCCGTTTCTTCTATCTGTGTCCCGTGTGCCGGTCTTCACGTTACAAATTGTCTGTATTTTTTCTGATAACTTTGTGGTACTTACTCACGTCGGTCTCTGCATTAGAATCGCTTCCCAATATCATGGTTCTGTGGCTCGTCTATTCCACACGGTAAAAATCTGTTCCAGGAGTCCCAGAGCGACTACATTCCATTGAGTCCTGACCAACTATTTTTCCTTGTCAGTTCCTTCCCCCTTTTTGGAAGTTTCTTGCTGCCCATCTCGGGATCCTTTTGCTGAACATTTCACAAGTTCCTGATCCTATCCAAGTTTATCTTCAGCTGTATCCTGTGAGGGAACTATTCAAATACTCCTAAGGAAACCTTAGCTAACGGTGAGGAAGGACCGAGGGGTCGTTGAGAGGAATAGGATAAAAAGTTGTCTGTCGTGGACGTGGTCGCGACACACGTGATATATTGCCGTCGTTTTACTATACGCGGTCGCCGGGTTAATGTAAATCCATAAGACAGCCACCATTCCCAGGGCGGTATATCCCGGCGATCATCATAGGAGCAACGACCTAACAGAGTGTAGCAAGGGAGTAAAGTGGATACACGGCAGACACCGCAAAGACTCCGATTTTCCTTCTGGAGGTGAGCCAAGGCA